AAAGAAAACATGATCTGAATAAGTAAATCCAAACAGTTTGTTTTTAACCTTTGTGACAGAAACAATCTCAAGGAATAATAATTGTCTTAAGACATTTTTTTTCCATCTGATAATCTGAGTTCGTTTCCCTTATGTCCATTTGACAGCCCAAATTTTTATTTTGAATAATCTTTTTTGTTTGTTTATTTTCTGGTGATTTTTAACAAACATTTTTTTATATTTTTTTTTATCGATTTTGATGGTTATTATATCGTTAGAACTGACGAGGGTCAACCTAGACCGAAATATATTTTCAATAAATGTGGAACTAACATCTACTTCTAAACATCTACTTTTTTACTCTACAGAGGTTTGGTCCATCACCATCACCGAATTTTAAATTTCTATTTTACTAAGCTTTTATAGGGCGCTTCGCGACCATCTTCTATTTCAACTTTTAATTGTGGCTGCATTTGTGAGCATCTTCTCTTTATACAACATAAAACAAAAACAAAAAAAGATTGAGTTTTTCATAATATTTTTTCGCGCATTTTCAAAATTTTACAAAATTACAATATTTGTCTTGGAAAATAATATAATTTAATTCTGAAAATCATTTGCCTTACAGTACGCTATAATTAATCCTAGGAATTAAATTTTATAAATTGTAAAATGATCTTTATTAAATCAAATTATTTTGAGGCTTCTGCTGTTGTTAATAAATGATAATGTAAGGAATTAAAGTACTCAGTTTCACTCTGAAATTAAATATCACAGTGGACTTTGGTCAATCCGAGGTTGTAATGCAAGGAAAGTTAATTGCAGTTGCGTATACTCTGCGTAGTGGGTACATATTGAAACCAGTTCTCTCTGGGCGGAATTGTAAACGAGAATAGTTGCATCAGTGTTCGTTTAGTATGATAATTCACATAATAGTTTCCTATGACCAGAATATTTCATTGATTTTTATGTGAAAGATGGATCCCATGTCAGGCTTCGACATCCGTCTTGTGTTTACATTACCGCCCAGAGACAGTACACTGCAGTACAAAAGATGCATACACCTCTGAAATAACTTTCCTTGCATTACAACCTTTGGTCAATCTGAATTCGAATTGGACTGACCCGACCCCTTGTACTGACCTTAGTAACTCGCGGACAGTACCGCCCGACCCTATCCTATACCTGCTTGGTTTCATACTTTTTTACTGTACCCGGCCTATCAGTGGCCTATTTTACCTATCCCACTAGCTTAGTTTAGTATGGAGAACAATAAGAGACATTAAAGGGACTGTAAACGTAATTCTAAATAACTTTCCATTTATAAACTGGAATATCAGATTCACAACTATTTATTTTTAATTTTAATTGACACTGCACATTGATTTAATATTTTAAACGAAATCTTTCAAATACAAATTGTAATTTTAATACTGAATTAGTTTTTATTAAATTCAAATTATAAATTTGAATAAAACGTTTGTGATTCAAATGTAAATTTTCACAAATTTCAACTAAATTTAGATTTTTAACATTCATGATAAATATATTTTGAGTTTAAAATAACTAGATACAATATACATTGATAATACTACATATGCATTGGTATCAATGAAACAAGATCAATACATTTTTTGTGGACTATACCAATATAATTTTATTCAATTTTAAGTCATGCAACTGATTAACAAACATATTTTCAAGAACCTGGAAAATGTCAAGAATTTTTGTTTAATTTCTAAAGTAAACCTTGCATAAGATTATACGAGGTGAATAAATATTTTATTAAATCTTTTTTGACTTTGCATGCTTGCTCGCTATAGAGATATGCAGGGTTACCCACAAAAGATGAAACTTCAGAGACGACTGTACGGAATGTATATTGTCTGTTACCTGGTTCCCTGCAACTGTAAACATGATTCGTACTTTGCCTAATTATTAAATTATCTTTTAAACATTTATATTGAAGGCAGAATACTTATTTCAACCTTGGATACTTTATTTCTAAGAGTTTCATGTTGTCTTTACAGTCTCATCCTTTGTGTGTATGTATATTGTTTATTATTGTACTGTAAAAATAGTGAATTCTGTGCAGGGTTTACTTTCACAATTAAAACAAACTTCAGAATCTTTCCAGGTTTTTAGTATTTCATTTATTTAAAAAAAAAATTTTGAACTACCAAAATAGCAAGAATTTTAGAACATTTTCAAATTACAACTTTTGTATCTAACTTAATAACAAGTTTACTAGCTTTACAAACTAATTTAACAATAACAATCTTTTTTATACATTAACTAATTTTTTTACAATTCAATCAAGCATTTGTTAAACTATATACTTATACATATACAATATACATAATATATCTGTATTAGTGTAAATAGTAATCCTAAAATAATCTATAGTAAACTTCGTTCATATTCTATAATTTCTCTGACTCCATTAAAAAAAGTCACAATTATCTGGAATTCTGAAAGTCCTAATTTTTTGGTGCTGGCCAGTTCGAAAAAAAATTGGTGCTGTCTCCTGACAACGATATCATAGTTTTCACAGAGGAGTTTTAGCTTGGAATAGTTTTTGGCAAGGTTTGGTAGCCGAGCTATAATACTAACCTCTAGTGCGGTTCCTATATTTGCAGGGTTTACGGATAAATACCCGTACTTTTCATCTTGAACAAACTTTAAATGTTTACTGATTGATTTCAAGAATGAACGAAGACGTCTTGTCATCATGCGCACGTTGCCGCGTTTCTCTATTGATTTTATTATCACGTGGTCAGATTCATTGATCCAGAGAACCAAATCTCTGTTTCTATTGTGATAAATTCCTCGTCCGAAAGGCCAGAGACTAGAACAAAAATGTTTAGAATAAATTAAATGCAATTAAAAATATCTTACTTTGTTTCCGAACTTGTTTCCCGTCCTTTTCTTGAAAAGAAAACATGATCTGAGGATAGACTTATTTCTATTTCAGGAGGCAGGGGTGTAGTTTGCATTGAATAGTACAAGCCTATAAGATATCTTTATTGATTAAAGTTTAAAATAAAAATAAATTTTTTATTACAAAAAATACCTGGATATTCATCACCCAGCTTATTCAGAGCATCTTTTACTGTCTTCTCCACCTTCTTAAGGTCTTGTACATTCATTCTAAAAATTTGAAAATACATATTTGTTAAATTTTTAATAATTTTGTCTCTGGTTAATTTATCTTAAGAATAAAGTTTGGAATTTATTTCTGAGAACAAAATGTTAAACCTGAAGAGATTAAATATAGTAGAAAGAAATAAGGTTCAAATCTTCAAATATATTGTTGAATATTTTCAACACAATATTTAAAATCTTTAAATTTCAGAATTGGAAACTAATTTAAACATCAAAATTTAGTTTGATAAAGAAACATCAAAATTAAAATTAATAATAAATTAGTTGATTTAGATGTATATTGAGATCATCTCATAATTTTTTACTATAGCAGAGTAAAAGTATACGTTTGGTACAGATCTAATATTCTTGCATATATACCTCATTTCTTTTTCGTGAACACTCCCTTTAGGTAATTTGATCCCCCCCTTCTCTACCTTGGTGGGAAAAAGAATCCTTTAAGGTTCCTGAAGACCTTGAGCTGAATAACTTGAACCGTGTGCTCGTAAGGTCCTTCCAGCCGTTCAGTCAGCGCGTTCAAGTCACCCCAGTCCTCACTTTTCAGTCTAAATAAATATGAATAAATCCTATCAATGGGTTTGCTTAACTAATGCGATTAAGAATTTAATTTTTGTTTACCTTTTTTCAAGAGACACTCCATGGTACTTTTCCACAACTTGCCTTTTAATTAACGCTTAAATCATTTTAATGGTTTGTATGATGACAGGTTCTTTACTCCTATTCATCATTCATAATTAATTAGATTTAATTAATTATGAAATACAAATTTTTGCTTCTCAAAATCAATTTGATATCAAAGATTAATTTGTTGAATTTATCTAAAACTAAAAAAATAGGAAACTAACTTTATTCATTAAAATGTTTAATTTTCCCTGAATAAAGGAGCAAACACGGTATAAACTGAAGGATCTGTGGCTCGGAGACCTATTTCTCCGTATACACCTCCAGACTGCAGGAGCTCAACCTGGAGAAAACTTTTGAGTTTGACATCGCAAGCAGATCTACTTTTTTTCGGAACTTTTAACTAGCTCTAGTATCTAGCAATATTAAAATATATCTCCCAATTTCTAGTTCTATATATATCTAGTACTACCTGGAGAATATATATCCCTCAGTATCTAAAACTGCCTGGAGAAAAATATCTAATACTTCCTAGAGAATATATATCCTTCAGTATCTGTACTATCTAAAGAATATATATCCTCGATCCTGTATCTAGTATTATCTGGAGAATGTATATATCATCCAGTATCTAGTCCTACCTAGAGAATATGTATCCTCCAGTAATTAATACTACCTGCTCTCCAGTATCTAATACTATCTGGAGAAGATATATTCTCCAGTATCTAGTACTACCTAGAGAATATATATCCTCCAGTATCTAGTTCTATCTGGAGAAGATATATTCTCCAGTATCTAGTACTATCTGGAGAATATATATTCTCCAGTATTTAATACTACCTGGAGAGATATATCCTCCAGTATCTTCTACTACCTGGAGAAGATGAGATAAATTTGCTCCACTTACAACAGACCCTCTGACTAGAAAGTTTTTTTTGTCTAGAGATAAATAAAAATAACATGAAATACAAACTTTTAGTTTTATAGTATTTTTTTCTTAAAGGCGCATGCATGTTCATTTTATTATTGTACAGATAAATTATCTGTCTTAATAATAATCAATGAATATGAATATTATAAATAAATGGAACTCTATAAATATTAAATATATATTGTTGATTGTAACCTAATAATCTGTAAAAAAAAGATTATATTCAGAGTAACATTTGAATTTAGGATGGAAATGTATTAGAAAACTGCTACAACTTTTAATGCATGAAAAATTCTAAATTTTTACTTTATAAATGTTAACAAATGAAACTAGTTCTTAACCTTGTTTGAATTGTACTGTACAGTTCTCTAGTCAATATCCTTCTCAGTAAACACTGTACAGTGTACATAAAGATTCAATTATCAGATTTTATAATTTACCAAGAATATTATAAAAAAATTTACTTTTTACCAAGAATATTATAAAGAAGATTTAGTGTTTATCAAGGATGTTAGGAAGAAGATTTACTATTTATCAAGGATTTTAGGAAGAATATCTTCTGTTTACCAAGGAAATTATACAGAAGATTTACTGTATACCAAGGATATTAGGAATAAGATTTCCTGTTTACCAAGAATATTATAATGAAGATTTACTGTTCATCAAGGATATTAGGAAGAAGATTTACTGTTTATCAAGGATTTTAGGAAGAATATCTTCTGTTTACCAAGGAAATTATACAGAAGATTTACTGTATACCAAGGGTATTAGGCAGAAGATTTCCTGTTTATCAAGGATATTAGGAAGAAGATTTACTGTTTACCAAGGATATTATGAAGAAGATTTACTTTTTACCAAGGATATCAGGAAAATATTTGCTTCTTTTTAGTTTTTCATTGAAAATACATGTTTGGTAAAATATTGTTTTGGATTTGAATGAGCGAAACTTTAACTTATTTAGATTTTAAAACTTTGAATCTTTCCTTTTGATTTAGAGTTTGCAGTTTAACAAACTTTCGTTCTATCTGCTTTATAGTTTCTCCATCCAGGGAATCAGATATCTAAACCAGAATCTTATATAGTTAAACAAAGAGTTTATAGGAAAACAGAGTTTATGTAGAAATACTGCTTTTATGACTTACTTTATAAATCAATCTTTATAGCGATACAATTAAAGACTTCAAGGTCGTCAAGGAATTCAGGGGGAAAACATTTTTATAAATCGGATCATAAACTCCCTCGGATATTTGTTTTGCTTTTTAGAGAGACTAGGCTTTCAAAGCGCTTCTGGACCATATTCTATTTTATTTGTGAGCATTTTCTCTTTGTGTACTTAGTAAAACAAAAAAAGTTGAACTTTCTAAATTTAATGACATTTGAAATTTTGATTATTCATAAAACCGTTAGTAAAGTTACAAAGCTTTGTGTCTATGAAAATCACGCAACCTCGAATTTTCCTTCTAACTAAAATGCAAAACATATATCAGAGGGAGTTTACCATCCGATTTCAAATAATTATTACCCTGAATTTCTATGTCACTTTTTTTCCGGTATATAAAATTAAATCATGCTTACTTGGTGTTTTATGGGGGTACCTTAACAATTTCAGACTATAAATTCTGTTATATCAAGTAGTGTATAGTTTTAAATATCAAATGTTTACAACATTAGATTAAAAAGTAAAAGGAATAAGAATATTTGAGTTTGTGGCAAAAAACTCAATTTCTTTGTACAAAAATCAATCAAAAATTTATTTTCCAGTATGCATTTATGCAAAATAATATCGGAAATTGTAATAATTAAATTTAAAAAAAAGGTTACAAACGTTTTAAAAAGTTCAAACAAAATCGAATGTTTCTTAGACCACGGTCTGGTCTTCTTTGAAAGAATCTAATTTAGAAAGCGGTCCCTTGAATTTTTGCAAGATCTAAATCCCCCAGACGGAAATTTCTTATATTCCAAGGATTGATAAAAGTTTGTTCTGAACCTGACCTGCTCTTGATTAGGTTCCAAATCTGAATATGATTTCTCGGACTCCTGGTTCACTATTCCTGATTTTCCATATTTCAGTCCAATTCCATGTTCCCCGGAACTGGAAAATAAGGGTTCAGTGTATAAAAAGTACAGACAGTATAAAAAGTAAAAAGAGTGTAAAAAGTTAAAAGTTTAAAAGTAAGAAAAGTTTTTAAAAGTATGAAAATTATAAAGTAAAGAGATTTAATAATCCTATGGGACGATGATTTTTTCCTTCACGCAGCAATATTTTCCATGTGAAACCTATAATATTTTAATGAATTGTTTGATTAAGGGTTGAAACATAACTTTTTTTGCCTGTAACTTGTATTGCTTAGTGACATTATCTTCACTGAGCTGAATTTATTTGAAAGATAGGAACTATTTATTCTCATTTTGGTCTCTGTCTTTTTTATTTAAATTTTCTCTGTTAATTGGAGGACTAGTCTATACAATTTTCAAGACTTTATAAATTATTTTTTATTTGTTTTTGAATTCTTTGAAAAGTTTTGAAATTTTTATAAACATTTTAAATTTTTAAAAATAAACTTTTACAATAAAGTTTTAAAGAAGATATAACCCAAAAAAGACCTTATTATTTTTCAATACTAGTCTATACAATTTTCAAGGCTTTGTAAATTATTTTATATTTGTTTTTAAATTCTTTGTAAAGTTTTGAAACTTTTATAACATTTTAGATTTATAAAGAAGATATAATCCAATACTGAGCTGGCAACTTTAGAATGGGATACCTTTAATCCCGACTGCTTAATCCGAATATCCAATTTTTCTCTTTATCCACTCTTTTTTGGATATAGTTTAGAAAAATCGAAAACCGGTTTTTGAAAATTAGAGAGTCCCTCCCGTTTCTGTATATTAATCCTAAATGGCGCGAAAAATTTTAAATTTCCCAGCTTCTAATACGCGACTATAATTGGTTGAATCTTATAAACTGTTCAGGATACAAGTAGAAGATGATTAAGTTCATGGATATATTAGTCTCGAAGATTAAGAAAAAGAGAGGATCAAGCATTAATCACCATTCTAAAGTTTCCAGCTCTGATTATTCTTATACTGAAGCTGAATTCTATTAGAAGTTACAAATGTTCCTAAAACCCCGGAACCAGACAAATAGACAACTAGACAACTAGACAACTAGACAACTAGTCAACTAGATAACTAGACAACTAGATAACTAGACAACTAGATAACTAGACAACTAGATAACTAGACAACTAGACAACTAGACAACTAGACAACTAGACAACTAGACAACTAGACAACTAGACAACTAGACAACCAGACAACTAGACAACTAGATAACTAGACAACTAAAAAACTAGACAACTAGACAACTAGACAACTAGACAACTAGACAACCAGACAACTAGACAACTAGACAACTAGACAACTAGACAACTAGACAACTAGACAACTAGACAACCAGACAACTAGACAACTAGACAACTAGACAACTAGACAACTAGACAACCAGACAACTAGACAACCAAACAACTAGACAACTTGTACGTAGAAAGGATGGAAATCACAAAAATCTGTCAGAATCAAAGAATACTTCTTTTCCTGTGACAGCTGATATTCCTTCAGATTGATATCTTCATGCTCTCCTAAAACTGTTTTAAAAGTATTAATAAGAACCTTGTTTAACATTTACCTAACAAATTGAAGAAGTTTTTCTTTTGTAAACTTATTTCCAAGTTTCAAGTATTGCCCTGCAGTTAGTCCATCCTTAACAATTTTGTATAAGTTTTTTTATCATTATTTTGTAATTTATGTTTATTATTTATTTTTTAAATTTTACTCTTTAGGCTTTTCTTTACGTCATTTCCTTCTTTTCCTTTCTTTTATTTCATTTTCTTTGTTTCTTTCTTTTACTTCATTTCCTTTCTTTTTTTTTACTTTATTTCCTTTTTTCCTTTCTTTTACTTTATTTCCTTTTTTCATTTCTTTTCCTTCATTTTTCTTTTCCTTTCTTTTACTTTATTTCCTTTTTTCCTTTCTTTTAATTTATTTCCTTTTTTCATTTCTTTTACTTCATTTCCTTTTTTCATTTCTTTTAATTCATTTCCTTTTTCCTTTCTTTAACTTAATTTACTTTTTTCCTTTCTTTTACTTAATTTCCTTTTTTCATTTCTTTTAATTCATTTCCTTTTTCCTTTCTTTTACTTAATTTCCTTTTTTCCTTTCTTTTACTTTCTTTCCTTTTTTCCTTTCTTTAACTTTATTTCCATTGTTCCTTTCTTTTACTTTATTTCTTTTTTTCCTTTCCATTCTTTTACTTCATTTCCTTTTTTTTATTGTTTTACTTCATCTCTCTTTCGGTCTTACCTTTTACCCTTCATTTTTTTTAATTTTCTTTTCTTTCTTTCATTTTTTTCCATTGTCACTTTAAGTCTTTCTTTCCACTATTTTTGTTTCTTCTTTAATTTTCTTTCCTCCACATTTACGCCAAAACTTTTCTTTTCCTTTCCTCCCTTCCTTCTTTTTTTTCTTTCTTCCTTTTTTTCTTCCTTACTTCTTTCCTTTCTTTCTTTAATTCTCATGTTTTCTTGAATTCTTTTTTTCTGATATTTTTTCCTTTGCTACAACTTCGACTTAACAATTTCCTGTTAAGAAACTGAGTTTTTGACACAAACTCAATTTTTACAATCCCTTTATCTTTGCAACCTGATGGAGTAAACCTTTGATATTTCAAACTTAGATTGTTTGATCTAACAAAATTCATAGTTTGAAATATCAAAGATCTACGACATGGGGTTGCAAAGATAATCAGAGTTTATTGCAAAGTCTCAATTCCATTATCTAAACCTGATCTTGTGTCGATGTTGCTGCTCCTTTGTTTATCATAATTTTATAAAGATTATATTCATCCTTTAAACAAGCAGCATAATGGAGGGGAGTTCGGCCCTGCAACAAGTAATGTTTAATATCTCTTAATTTGTTGGAGTTTTAAAAAGAATATGTTGTGCATCGACTTGTTAGGAAAGACTTGTTGATTTAGAATATTTTGATTTAAGGAATATTAAGAATTTTAATCCTTGCATATTGTAGTTATGGTTGAGTATAATCATCTAATTAAATGTTTAAAAAAAAGTAGTTTTTAGATGTGGTCATACAATATTACTATAAATAATTTATATAAAATTCATAAATTTTCCTTTTGAATTATCTTTTTTTAGAAGTAAGATGATGAGGGTTTATTAATTATATAAAATTTTGTTATTATACAAATAAATTCTAATAATTCTAGGGAGCAAATAGTTTTTTTTTACAAAAGAATATATAATTATTCCAATTTTCTGAAATTGTAAAGTATATTTAGATAGTAAAGACACAAAAAAATTGATTTCAAATTCTTTTTTAATAAAAGAACACTAACCATTTTAAAGGAATAAATTATGATTTTATAATAATGACTTTACTTATAAATCTTAAAAAAATATCTTACCCTTGAGTCTTTCAGATTTATCAGCTCTGGAAAGGAATTTATCAAATATCTAAAATCAAAATATCTAAATAGTTTTTCGAGTGTTGACAAAGCTTTTCTATTGAGTTTAATTTTTTTGCTTTATAATAAGAATATAATCATATTTTTCTAGGGATTTCAAAACTCAGCATGATTTACTATAAAATGAAAATTTACGCGGTTTCAAACACGCTTCTACAAAAATAATGTTATACAACCCTGTCTTCTTTACATTTTTGGTGCTTGGAAAGTTTTTTCCACATTTATTAAAGAAATGATATAAAATCGTAAACAATCTCTTCAATTTTGACCTAACCTTGAAAGTTGTGAGTGTCCGAAAAGAATTGATTTGTGTAGAATATTGACCAGGGTTCCAGGATCCAAGGATTGGGAGAACTTTCTTCTGTCCAGGTGTAGACGTAGCTCCTTCAAGGATCCAGAGGCAACAGCTGATTAATCACGTGATTATTAATGATAACAGCTGATTAATCACTTTTTTATTCATGGGCAAAGCTGATTAATCACGCGATTATTTATGAAAAGAGCTGATTAACCACACAGTTATTCATGAAAAGAGCTGATTAATCACGCGTTTATTCATGGAAACATCTAATTTATGACGTGAATATTCTCAAAAAGAGCTGATTATTCACGAGTTTATTCACGGAAACAGCTGATTAATCAATCACGTGTTTTTTCATGGAAACAGCTGATTTATTGCGTGAATATTCATGAAATGAGCTGATTGATCACGTGATTATCATGAAAAGAGCTAATTAATCATTATAACTGAAACTTTAATTCAAAATTCAAAATACTCATATGCTAGGCTTAAACCATGTAGACAAAAATAAAAACAATTAAAGCTAATTTTCACCATAGTAAAAACTAACCTTGATGAATTTTTCGACGTTTCTCTTCAAAATTTGGAATGTTTAACAGAAATTCGGAAACTTCAGGATCGTCTGAAATTATTTGGAACTTTTTAATCAAGGAGAACTGAACCTTCCCCTCACCTTTAAGAACTAGTCAGCTACCTGAATCTAAACCTAGAAGAGCTGAACCCTCCCCTCTAAGAACTCTAGTCAACTACCTGAATCTAAACCTAGAAGAGCTGAACCCCCCCTTCTAAGAACTATGCCAACTACCTGAATCTAAACCTAGAAGAACTGAACCCTCCCCTCTAAGAACTAGTAAACTACCTGAATCTAAACCTAGAAGAGCTGAACCCTCCCTTCTGAAAACTATGTCAGCTACCTGAATCTAAACCTTTAAGAGCTGAACCCTCCCCTCTAAGAACTAGTTAACTACCTGAATCTAAACCTAGATAAGCTGAACCCTCCACGTGGATTTAACGGTTCTGTCAATATTCCAGAAAGCTGTGACTTTCGATCACAATTTGACCCATTAAACATAATTTGTTATTCTTTTCTCTTAAATACTTTTTTGTTGGCATATGCATTTTGAATAAAAATATATAAAATAAACAAATCCGTAAAGTAAATGATTATTGAATTAAAGACCAAAACACGTTTGATTTCAAATAGAAGAAACCGAATGCTGCTCAGTCTGGTTAGTCCGGTGTGCCTCTCCTCTGAGAACTAGTCAACTACCTGAATCTAAATCTAGAAGAACTGAACCCTCCCCTCTGAGAACTATGTCAACTACCTGAATCTAAACCTAGAAGAGCTGAACCCTCCCCTCTGAGAACTAGTCAACTACCTGAATCTAAACCTAGAAGAACTGAACCCTCCCCTCTAAGAACTAGTCAACTACATGAATCTAAACCTAGAAGAGCTGAACCCTCCCCTCTGAAAACTATGTCAACTACCTGAATCTAAACTTAGAAGAACTAGTCAACTACCTGAATCTAAACCTAGAAGAGCTGAACCCTCCCCTCTGAAAACTATGTCAACTACCTGAATCTAAACTTAGAAGAACTAGTAAACTACCTGAATCTAAACCTAGAAGCGCTGAACCCTCCATCTAAGACTAGTAAACTACCTGAATCTAAACCTAGAAGAGCTGAACCCTCCCATCTAAGACTAGTCAACTACCTGAATCTAAACCTAGAAGAGCTGAACCCTCCCATCTAAGACTAGTCAACTACCTGAATCTAAACCTAGAAGAGCTGAACCCTCCCATCTAAGACTAGTCAACTACCTGAATCTAAACCTAGATGGACTGAACCCTCCCATCTAAGACTAGTCAACATACCTGAATCTAAGCCTAGAAGAGCTGAACCCTCCCCTCTAAGAACTATGTCAACTAAGGAATTCCAATTTTTTTCTTGAACTGCCAGCTTAGCTTTTACATTCTAAAATAGAAAAGATTAAAATGTTTTTTTGTAAATTTTTGCAAACTAAAAAACAAAATAATATGATAATTTGAATTTTTTTCTAGACGCCCCCACCCCCTAGAAAAGGTTTTAGAGTGAAGGTACAGAGTTGAAATGCATGCACATAATGAATTCCCATGAAAAGTCAGTTTTTTACGTAATCAACCTATATTGGTAATCAAACACAATTTGAACCCTATTTACTTTTTTACAAACTAAGTGCGCGGCATTATTTGTGGAACAGACATGAGCATTGCAACTCTGAGTTTATTTGCATACAGGGTTACCCACAAAAGATGAGACTTCAGAGACGACTGTACGGAAGTCATTCAGTATTATTTTAAATTCTTCGCACTCAACAGATGCACACTTGTTTCTATCTTTGCCAATCTTTAACTTAATCCAAATTCAACCATATACATATTTATCTTCTTAAAATAAGTCTAAAACATGTTCTATTGTTTATTAGGATTGGTTAATGGTTATATATGTATATTTATATATATATATTTTTAGAAAATACGCAATATGTGATGAAAAAATACTTGAAAACAGTTGTTTTCTTTAGCCAATTAGAAGCTCGAAACAATATAAAAAGAAGTATTCAATGTTTGCCAATTCAATGAATTTTATAATCAAATAATTTTTCCTCGCATGTTTCCTGAAAGACCCTGTCAGAAAAAGTTTTCTGTTAAGTTATACAACTAAATAATTCGGTAATTTCTCAGGATGAAAGCTGGCACTTTTGCTAGACTTTTAAACATTTATTCTATAGCTATTGATTTAGTTGCATTTTATATTACATGCAAAGCTAGGTTTAGATTTGAAATATAGCTAGCTATCTAATATAGCTAGCTATCTAATATAGCTAGAGTGGAATACTCTCTAGGATAAGGTTTATTATCTCCAGGTTCCCTACTCTACTGGAAACCAGGATAGGTGACTCCGATCCCCTCCAGCTTAACAAACATCTGGGATCCTGAGATATAAAAATCTAACTTTTTAACATTTTAGATTTAAGTTTAAGTTTGATTTAAGTTTCTCTTGTGAGAGAACTAAACCAATTCTCAGAATTTTTCAAATTTCTGAAAATTTGCAGAAAACTGCCAATTTAACAGAAACAAAATTAAAGATTTCTGGGATCTGGTGAGTTTTCACAGAGGTAAAAAACTATTCCTTTCATTTCATTTTTTTTGTAGAAAGCAAAACCAAAATAAAATATAGTTTTAATATTTCTTAAAATATTTTAAAGTTTCCTGGCATAAGAGACTATAACAAGAAACAAAAAAGTTGAGAAAAAAACTTTATCACAGGAAAGTTTCTTGCCCAAGGGATTGTCAGCACTGAACAAAATCTGAACATTTTATTGCCCTCCATTTAGACATAAAAGCAAATTATCGATCCTTGAAAAGGTTTATTCCTTTAAAGTGTTGTTATCTGGGTCTGATATATACCTTTATGTTAGTAAGGTTTTCTAGGTGTTCCTCCTGGACACTGGAATGAATGTTGTTTATCTCTTCCTAAAAAAGAGATACAGGATTAACCACAACGAATATGGATTCAGAGACGACTGTCCGAAATATCTTACCGTTTCTTGCAACTAGATTTGTTAATTTTATTTTCAAATATTGTTTGCACAATTCTTATTTTTTAATTATGTTCATTTTCATAAAGTTTATCATCTTCCTTATATACAGGTGTTCCGCTGCAGCCATATTTTATTCAACAATAAAAAAGTGACCAGAGCTGGGAACTTTAGAATGGTGGATATCGGGATTAATGCTTGATCCTCTCTTTTTCTTAATCTAGAGATTAAATAATGCTTGTTCTCCTCTTATTATTAATCTCCAGATGAATTAACCAATCGGGATTAAGGATATTCCATTCTAAAGTTTTCAGCTTAGGATATTTGGATATGGGCTCTTATTTGATGATATTTTAAATCCAACTGAATTTTGAGAAAATCCTAGGATGATTATTTTAGGAAAGTTTCGAGAACTTTAGAAATAACGGGTGGTTTTATTTTGATGAGCCAATTGTGAGCCATGAAGAGCCAGGAGCTGCCGGCTGTAGTAGTGTTGATAGAACCTGCCGGCTATAGTAGTGTTGATAAAAGCTGCCGGTTGTAGTAGTGTTGATAGAAGCTGCCGGCTATAGAAGTGTTGATAGAAGCTGCCGGCTATAGTAGTGTTGATAGAAGCTGCCGGCTATAGTAGTGTTGATAGCAGCTGCCGGCTATAGTAGTGTTGATAAAAGCTGCCGGCTATAGTAGTGTTGATAGAAGCTGCCCGCTATGGTAGTGTTGAAGGAAGCTGCCGGGTGTAGTAGTGTTGATAGAAGCTGCCGGCTATAGTAGTGTTGATAGTAGCTGCCGGCTATAGTAGTGTTGATAGAAGCTACCGGCTATGGTAGTGTTGATAGAAGCTGCCAGCTATAGTAGTGTTGATAGAAGCTGCCGGCTATAG